TTCTCACACGCAGTTGTCTACAGTCGCACGACGCAAAAAATTTTTACGATCTCTCACCGACGCTGCTTTCCTAAATGTTAATCATCCGATAGACGATGTTCTCAAGGCCGAAGTTATGACTTCCCGTGAAAATCTTAGTAGACATGACTCTTCCGTAAGCATACACGCTCACGTCGATCAAGACGATGTCAAGATATCTAAAAGCTTGGAAACGGAAGGCAGCAAAGACATCTCCGAAGGCGAAACAATCGGCAAGAAAGAAATACCGTCCGAGAGAGGAATGAGCCGAGATACTAGCAGAGAAGTAAGTAGAGAAATTAGCATGGAAGCTACCAGTAGAGAAGTCAGTAGGGAGATCAGCAGAGAGGCTAGTAAAGAAGCTAGCAGCGAGAATCCGTCCTCCGACATCAAACAAGATTCAACAGAGCGTATACTCGGACAAGATTCTGCGGAGCGTGGTACATTCAAGCTGAACAGTAGAACTCGATCGGAATCCGATGATTTTATGCTGCTTCCACCCCCAAGCACTCAGAGAGGCGTAACGTGGGCGGAGCCTCGCGTGGCTGTGATTCCGTCGTCTGTCACTTCAGCTGGTAACATGCAAAGATCGATTTTATTAGCAATGCGCGCCGAATATACTAGCATCACGGATGAGCTGGAGAGTTATTGTGGTCTATTGAGCCCGCCAAGAACACCACCGGTCTCACCGCCACCGTCACGGATGCGCAACATATCGGACATGTTGAATCCTGAGATGGCATGGCAAATTGAGAACGAGCATTTGCGTGACGCGGAAGAATGCGATTATCAACAAATGGAGGATCTGATTCATCGACGTTACCACGGCGACAATAATAATGACGACGGACCACCGAACATGCATGCGGATGATACCGGTGATATTACATATTTCTTTAATGTATCCAACGAACACCGCCAGCTGCGCCGCGCCTCCGCGATCGAGGAGGATCCCCGACGACCACCGCCGATGATTAGCGTCACCCATGAAATCGAGCAAACGCTTGCACGACCACCGATACACGATTCGGAGGGGACCAATCCGAGTGATAAGAATCTGAGTACCGTACCTGCCCCCGCTTCTGAAACTATGTGTTAAAATGAAAATCAAGTAGGGAAAATATGCATCATTTGCTAAGCTTTCGGAAAATCAATTTCCAATTAATAAAATAATCTTTATCGGATTATTAGCTTTATCACAATTTTTACTATTCGAATATAATCGTATTATAATTCTTCGTGTTCATTAATCGTTTTATCATCAACAACGCATAGAATTTTAAATGTTTTTAACAATTACAAGAGTAACTAACTATATACATCTCTATTTTAAGATTATTGGAGGTCCAATACAATTTCTTCTAATCTAATATTACTTCTCAGTTCCCAGACAGTACCAAGCTGTCGGCTGTCTGTCGGCAGAAGGAGTCTAAAGTCGACTTAAGTTAGACTGAATGTCAACTTCTAATCAACTAATACCCGCGTTTCTATTAATATAAATTAACTTTAATCTTCTTTTAAGGGGGAACATCACTGTGATGGCCGAAAAAAAAAACTTTTGTGAAAACTAATAGCTTGTATGAATTATTGTCTTTATATATTTAAAGTACATACATTTACGTAGTTATTACAAAACATTCATTAAATAATATTAATATTTCTAGCCTCAGTGCTCATTGATGTATATCTCGTCTGAAAAAACATGGCTGCACGGGCGCTCGTGCTGCGTCTGAATGGGAGCTCTAAATGAAAAATTTTTTTTATTTTAAAATATATAAGTATAGTTTCAGTTAAGCGTACTGATTTTTTGATAAAATAATTTTAGACAAAATAGCGCTGTTTTAAAAAAAGAGATTGCAATTTTGCGAAAAAAATCGTTACTTTTTTTTATTATTTTTCAAAAACTAATAATCCAATTGAAAAACTCGTACGCTTAACTGAAGACAATTTTGTTGTAAACAATCTGTCCAAAATTCAAGTTATTCGAATAAAAATTGGCCGAGATATGTGAGCGCCCAGTTACGAAAACGTGGTTTCAAGAAATGTATTTAAAGTTTTACAATCGATTAGTTTATGCATCTGATCATGTGCACTCCATCACATATTTATTATAGTTCCATTACGAATTTCAATATAATATTTTAGGGATATATTTTTAAGACTCCAAGCATTACAAAAATGCAAAAAAAAATCGATATTTTGAACCCGTCACAGTGGTGTTCCCTCTAATTTACTCTTCGTCTTTTTCTAATTCTTAGAACTAGAAAAAGATGAAGAATTTGTTGAACCGAGATTAAAATTAAATCACATTGGTAGAAACGGGCGCAGGATCCTCTCGTGCAACTCACGATTTAATTGGAAACAAATGAGGAATAAATTGAACCTCGGTTAAGAGTTAATCGTGAGTTGTGGGACTGAGCCTTAAAAACGACAAATGTCTCAATTATAATCAGCTGTAAGTTAGCCAATGTAATCAATTATGTCAATTTTAAGTCGACTATAAGCCGACAATCATCTAATCTTATTTTAATAGTTAAATGTCGACTTTAAAAGTCAACTATCAGTCGACAAACAGTCAAGCATGCTATATGGGTTTCTCATGTTTAATGTTCTAATGAAATGAATATACTATCATATTGGCGTATGATAAATAGGAAAGCAAGATCTTTGCACAGTATAAAACATTTTGTACTTAATTGTGTCAAAACTGGTTTTTATTATTTTTTAGTTGAACTTTTAACATATCCGAGTAATTAATAAAAATTTGGGTGGAATATACAAATGTGCTAAATTTAACACAAATTTTAACTCTGTAGAGAGAAGCGGCCGATTAAAGCAAAAAATATATAGAATTGAGCAGTGTTGCGTAATCTTTCTTAAGCTTTACTGCACACGATAGTGTTTGGCATCTTTACTATACACAATGGGTCTTTCGTATCCTGGGTTAATTTTTATCAATTTTACAAGTATATATTAGAGAGGATTTCTGTAAACGATACATTTTGAATTAAAAAAACTTTGTAAAAAGCTTCCTTTTGAATTAAATGTATTTCGGGAGTCGCTTCCCGTGGAAAGTCGAAATCCTTTCACAACAGTACAATCATAGAATTCTTTCGCCCCTTTGCAGGGGGTGGAGGTAGGGTGAGTCACTTCGCGTGGAAAGTTAAAATTCACGTAGAACAGTACAATTATAAATCTTGGAATCGATTCTGTATCTTGAAACGAGGATGAAAATTACAAAAGTGAGCGAATTTACTAGAATACTGATAATTTCATTGGTCAACACCTAATAAATTTGCTCACTTTTGTAATTTTCACCTTATTTGAAGATATAAAATCGACCCTTATTTTGCCTCCGTGACAGATTTCCTAATCTTAATAGTAGTTAACTTTAACGCTTAATATTTCGGTTCGCGGGACCGTCCCAATATTTTTCTTTTATGCCCATTTCCACCAACGTAAATTAACTTTAATCTCGATTCAACTTACTCTTCATCTTTTTGTAATTCTAAAGATTAGAAAAAGACAAAGAGTAAGGCCTGAATCAGACGTACGTATTGAAGAATGAGATTAAAGTTTGATCGATCAGAATAAAAGGAGCTAAAATTTCCTTGTCCTCATTGGTGAAATTTTAATCTTTAATCTTTAATCTCGATCTTAAATATATAGTCTGATTCCGGCCTAAGTTGAACCGAGATTAAAGTTAATCTATATTGGTAGAAATGGGCATTAGAGATTGTTTTACTTCGAGCAAAAACGCTTCGAATAAGCCTAATTTCATCAAAATCGGAGGTACAGTACTCTAAATAATTATATTTAATTTATTTAATAATTACAATAAAATTATTAATTCTAAAATTATAAGACAATTTTTTTTAATCTTTCCCAAACTATTCCGAAACTTTGCAATAAAAAAAAAGTAAGAAATGTTAAGTACTTCTGCTAACTATACTCGATTAATTTTCGTTGATTATAAATAAATTATTGTTTCCTAAATTATAAGACTCTTTTCCTAAACTTTCCCAAATTTTTGCAATAAAAAAAAAGAGAAATGTTAAACTTGTCTGCTAAGTATACGTCGATTCCTATGCCTAAAATATAATTAAAAAAATCAATAAAAAAATGAGAAATGTTAAACTTGTCTGCTAAGTATACATCGATCCTTATGCCTTGCTTACTCTATATATACAACTTCTTTTTATATAAACTGTTGGAAAATATTTTATTTTACAATTTTCTCCGACGAAGCGCTCGATTTTGTTCTAGCACTAGATTTCTAAAGTATCGCAATAGGTTTTCGAGTTTGATTGCGTCAAAATGGTGGAACACCATATGCACTATCTCACCGACAAGATACTATTAAAGACCGACAACCCTGGGCAAATTTTCGGCGGTATAAAAAGGATCCCAAGAGCCGGAGGTAATTGAAGAATGCTGACATTATCGACAATTGATATAAATTTGCTATTATTAACATAAATATTTGGCTCATACATTATTAAATTCATGATTTTTTATTACATAAATGTTCCATAAATAAATATGCATACTTGTAAAACTATAATATATATTACAGAATATATTGCAGAAAAATTACAATTTTTTCTCTGCAATCTCTGTTGATAATCAAACTTTGACGATAACAATGAAATTACAATTTAAAGAAACATCGAGTATTATTGAGTTCTACATGCATAAATACGTCTACTAAACTAATAATTCATAAAATTAGTACAATATTATCAGTTTTTAACTCTTAATTACTTCAATATTCACAAGGACGCGAACTCCCGTAAGGATGTCGGTCTTTAATAGTATCTCATTGGTGGCACTATTCATATACTGTTTCGCACGTACGAATTACTTTGCGCATTTTACGATTAGCTTGCTCGTTCATTTGCGTTTACTTGCTCTATCCTTCAAGTTATAGATTCATGAGAGAACTAATCACTCAGAGCCGATTTCATCTTTTGATAAATTTTACCTGTTGAATAAGTAGCAAGATTTCCCAACCACATACGCGGATTGCCAGATTTACCTAACAGATGAAATTTACCAAAAGGTGGAATATCGGACTTTGGAGAGCAAGCTGCGTTTCGAATCCCATTGAAAAAATTGTGTTGCAACCTTTCTGTGACCAGTTGTACTTAAGTTTGAAAATATCCGCGTTTTGCGTCAAGATGGAGACAAGTTTGCGGTACTTTAGAAACTAGTGACTTTATTCTGCCATACAGCCGGATACAGCGCTTTCCCAACACCGTGTTTCGAGTTTTGAGTCCATTTTTTTCGGGACAGACCGCCAGCCACTTGAAGATTTAAACGTAACCGGCACGAGCAACAGGGAATAACGAGTCATCCAATCAGAGTTCTGATTAGACGGCTCGTTATTCCTTGTGCTTATTGTGTTTAAGCCTTGAATTTGGTCCTTATTCCGTGGTTCTTGCCTATATTTTTGACTTTTCCTAACCTGAATATTCCTTAATTTTAATGATTAATATCTCGGTTCGCTAGACAGAGCAACGCGGTTCTTAAATTTATTCATTCGTTTAATTTCGATTTTTGAGGTAACATGGTAAATTAAACAATTATCCACAAATGTAATTATATTATTTATATATTTATTTAGTTTTATCCGTTGTGACTTTGACATCAATATATATTTATTACTATAATATATACATTATCGTTTTTAATATTCGAAATAACAACTGTTGTATAAATTTGTAAAACCAATCATCCATCTTTTTTGAACATATCAAATTTTTGCTTTTATGTGTAGCCGCTAGCCATACGTTACGTGTCAACATGGACAACTCAGAAGTCGATGGTTTGAACAAAGAGATTCAACTCGATAAAATCCATGAAGAGAATCCTCGAGATTTGCGGGATGAAGTCAACACCTCGCATGGTGATGAAGAACAGCGAGAGAAATTGATACGACTACCCCTGGGAAGAATAAAAACCATTATCAAAATGGATCCTGAAGTTTGTTTAGTTAATCAAGAGGCTACGTTTTTGGTGGCGAAGTCGGTGGTAAATGTCGAAAAATTAATTATGATTCATTTTATAATGTGTTCAAACGATCATCTATTAACAGGAATTTTAACATATCTTTTAACAGGAATTTTTTATTGAATCTCTTGCAAAAGAAGCTTATAAATATACTGCACAAGCGAAGAAAAAGACTGTTCAAAAACGTGATGTAGAAAATGCCATTGATAACGTAGATGCACTTGTATTTTTGGAAGGTATGCTCGATTAATTGTATAATTAGTATCTTATTATAAAACTGAAAAAAAATTAATGTTTTTTTTATTTTTTTTTACAATCGTAAAAATAATAGTGATATTTGCGAGCATTAAATACTGTTGCAATGATTTGTTATATTGTATATATTTTTGATATTATATAAATAAGAATATTTGAATACAATAATTTATCTATGTAATAACTAGGAAAATGTTTGTAAGCGTCTGTTTCATCTGCCAATAAAATTAGTTGTTTCTTACTGAATATCTTTTATATCGTCTATTATATAAGCAAGTTTTGCATTCTAAAAGCTTTACTAAACGTACTGTATAAAAAAGTTTGCATTTCAATTTTAAATTCATTTATTATATTTTTTATTGGTACATAACAAATTGTTTCATGTATGTGAAGTGTTTATTTGACACTTCACGAAAGGAAAAGTATATAGTAAATTACTTATATGTTAAAACTCATAAAAGTATTTACGGACGAACAATTACATTGTATTGTGAATATCTTCGTTTTTCTTTCCTAATCGAATTAATCTTTTGAATTAATTCCTCCTATATTGCTACTTCTACTATTTTACATTTCGCTATTTGACTATGCGGAATGAAAATAAACGCAAGATGGAAATGAATGATTTTTATTGTTTGCGCGTATATCGTTAAAACAGATGCAGAAACTTGAAATAAATTCAGAATGAGAATTTTATTCAGTCTCTATAAATGAAATAAGAATGTTCTGTATATTAATGTAGACACATTGTGATAGTTCGTGAAATGAGCAATGTTCATTGCTTTTTTTATCATTCTATCTTTACTGAACTATTTATAAAGCATTTGTCAGAATAAAATCTTTGTAATCCACACTGTTCCTAATGTTCTTAACGAATTCTATATCTGTCTATGCACTGCAGTTAATTGAATTCTATAATGTAATATTGCATACATATGCACACACATGTATATAATATCACATTTTTATCTTCCTTTCTAGAGTTTTGTGTGTGTACGTGTGTGTGTAGGATGAAAAATTTCAAACGCAATAGGACAAGAAATATGCGGTTGTGTTGCAAAATGAAAAATTTTTTTAATAAGCAACTATGTGTGTCTTTGCACTAATTGATTCATCTCATTATTATAAGTAAAAGTATTAAGATACGATTATCAAAATAGTTAATAGTTTACAAAGTATTTAATATTTTATGTCAATATATGGCCAGCTAGAGCAAAACATAGAATAACTCGAGAACTATTGATTTTTCGACAGTAGATTTCTCTACTTTAATTTTTTTGTATGCAGAATAGTTAGAGAAATCATATTATGTAAAAGTTCTATTTTTAAAGTGGCAATAACACTTTTATGATCTCGAAAGTCATTTTTTAAAATTAATTTTACCTTTATTTGCGCCTCATCAAGTTATAACTTTGTTTGAAACATTTTTCCATATTTTCCGTATTCGAGATATTTATCTTATTTTACGTTTGAAACTCATCCGATGTATATATATATATATTTCTATATATACA